TTTAATATTATCAAAATAAAATAAAATAAATATTTAAATTTATCAGACCAAATTTCTTCAACTAATATTAAATTTTATCAAATAATATTTAAATTTGACATGTAAAGGGTAATGTATGAAGAGTGGTTGAGTGAGATTTTGGAGGACAAACAATATAGCAAAGGAGTTGAAAATGGGTGAGACATTGACATTGACTTTATCGATTGTAATTTTTATCGTAGAGAAAACATTTTTAACTATAAAAACTATAAAAAATATATTATATGACAAAATGAGTGATAATATAATGACTAATATTTATATTAATATTATAAACAAATATTTTTGATGGTATTTATAACAAAGTTATCATACAATGCTTTAAAATGATAAAAATTTATTGGGATCAATTGAAAATTACTATAATTCACCTTATTTTTTAGTAAAATGTTAAAATTAATTTTTTCCCAATTTATTTTATTTGTATCAGTGTTATGAAAAGCGCGCCTAGGCGCTTGCCTAGGCGAGAAGCGAGGCGAGGCGAGACTTGCTCGCCTGGAGGAACCCAGGCGAAGCGAACCTGAGCGAGGCGAGAAAAAAGCGAGGAAAAACGAAAAAGCGAAGAAGCGATCGCTTTTGTTATGCGAGGCGAATTTTTAATTTAGACCGTAGGATTGGGCGATTGCAAAAAAAATTTTAAGATGTTAATGTACCGAATTATTCCCTTATCCTATAAATAAAACTCCTAACCTAATTTTGTTAATTTTTTTACAGATACCTTCAATCGGTGCTGCCTGCTACACGATCGATCGGTGCTGCCTGCTACACGATCGATCGGTGCTGCTCTCCCCTGCTTCGATCGATGCTGCTTCGATCAGTGCTGCTCTCCACTGCTACACGATCGATCGGTGCTCCTCTCCACTGCTACACGACGGATTTGGTGCTGCTCTCCACTGCTACACGATCGGTACTGTTCTCCAGTGCTACATTCCAAGGCTTCGAGTTTTCGCTACTTGTACACCATTGTTGTTGCTGGACTGAGGGTTTGGAGGGCTGGTCTGTGAGGTTAGTCTTCTTCTTCTTCTCTCTTCAATTTTTTTTTCTTCTGTCTTCTGCTCCTTCACCGATTCTGGTTTTTTTTTTTTTTTTTTTTTTGATCTGATTCTACCCTATTTTGCTCCGATTGTGCTTCTTTTTTTTTCATTATGCGTCTGTTTTTTTTTTTTTTTTTGCTTTTTCCTTATGTTGCTGTCAAAACTCCATTCTAAGGAGTTGCTGGAATGCTATTATTCGTAGTTGTCCGTATGTTACATACCGATATGTACCTAGTTTTGTTATTGTTGCTAGATAAACAAGACTTATTGTAATGCAGCTATTTGGTTGGTAACACCTCTCTTCAATGGATAGCTCTGTGGCACTGGAATTTTTTTTTAAATCAGAAGTTATTTTCATAGGTCAAATTATAACTTTTAAAAGTGAAGTTACAACTGAATGGAGTTAATCACGATCGATCACGAAATGTTGTGATCGGTCATTAATACTTCTAAAAGACGTAACTTTTGTGATTGACCATAATATTTTGACATCGATTATGTCTTTTACAGTCGTAATTTACACCCAAAAAATTATAACTTAATCATAAAAAGTTGTAATATTCGGTCGTAGTCTTCCTGTCTCTTCAATAATGAGATAGTCACCATGCATTGCTTGAAATATTATTCACACAGATATATGTGAACTTCCAGCACTACAACATGCTAATTGATGTCTTTGTATAACCAATCTTTGCTCTCATTTATGGCAAGATTTTAAAGGCCTCTTGTGACTTAACAAACAAATCATGCATCTTATTGGTAATAATATGGTCGGAGATTGCATAAGAATTATACAAACAAATGAAAATGCAAGACTTAATGCATTCTGCTTCTGTCCAGTCAATATGAAATTGCTCCTGTGCTGCTTCAATTTTTTTTTTCTTCAGTCGTCTGTTTTTTTTTTGTTGTTGCATTCTACTGCTGTCTTGATTCTGCTTCTTTTGTTGTCCTGTCCTGTCAATATAAAATTGTTTACAACTGATATAAAATGTGATTCAGTACATGTGAATGTGTTTTGTTCCTTTGATTGTAGTGTGATAGTGTTATTCATAAATGGCATCGTCGTCCGAAGGGAACAAAAAAGATTCGGCATGGAAATATGCACACTTGGTAAATCCTCAAAACACAAACAAGTTCAAATGCAATTTTTGTGGAAAAGAGTCAAATGGAGGTGTCTATCGGGTCAAGCAACACCGAGCAGGGAACTCTACGAGTGTTATTACTTGTCCAAAATGCCCTGCTCATGTTAGGGAGGAGATTAGAGAATACATGGCTAAAAAAAAGGAAGAGAAGAATCTAATGAACATGGTTTCCGACTTTGATGAGATGCCTAATGACTTGGAGGAGGATGAAGATGATATTGTAGAGATTGTTGCGAATCGTAAAAGATCCATGACTAGTTCTAGTCAAGGTTCTACACAAGCCACATCGAGACCAAAAAAACCAAGACAAAAAGGGCCTATGGATGTATACTTCACCCCTGATCCGAATGTTGTGGTGCAAAATCGAAAGACCAAGGGGAGACAAACGAATATTGATGCCAGCGATCCTTTTAGAAAGGAAATGAGAGAAAGAGCCATCACAACATTTGCCCGATGGATGTATGACACGGGAATTCCCTTTAATGTTGTGAACTATGAAAGTTTTGCAGCAATGGTTGAAACTTTTGGACAATATGGTCCTGGTTTGAAACCCCCTTCTTACCATGAGGTTCGGGTCCCATTGCTCAACAAAGAAGTAGGGCATATAAAGTCATTGATGAAAGATCACCAAGAGGATTGGGCAAAATATGGATGTTGCATAATGGCCGATGGATGGACTGACAAGAGAGGGAGAACCTTGATTAATTTCTTAGTGAATTGTCCAAAAGGGACCATGTTCTTTGAATCTGTTGATGCTTCTGCATACTCAAAGGATGGGCAAAAAATGTTTGAATTGTTTGATAATTTTGTAGAGCGTATTGGTGAAGGCTTGTATGCATTTTTTACATTATTATGTTGAATGATTCTATTTTGTGTTAAAAATAATTTTAATAAATATAAATATATCATTCTACTTAGCAAAAAAAAATAAAAATTAAACTTTATAAAGTGTCCACCCAAGGTATTTTAGTATAATAACATAATAGGAAGTAAATTTGACATTTTGAAAGAATATTTAATCAAATTGTTCACTTTTTCTATTGTTAGAGACGAAAAATATTGGTAAAGGGTGCTAGTGATTTTACAATACAAACTAGAAGGAGATGAAGTGAAATTTTAAAATCAAAAAGAAGTATTATTGAATTTAGACAAAACTATAAGGGTGTCGATGAAACTTACCCTATCTTATATTACGCGGATTACTTGATTCTCTAACTTGTCTACTTCAAAATTCAAAGCAAAAGTCTATTCCAAGGCCATTCTCGACATTTCACTCCGATAAAATAATAAAAGAAAAATATGCCAAAAAATGGACAATTTCAAGCAAACCACTCCGACTGATAGAAGAAACAACAAAAAAAGAAGAAACAATAAAACCTCGTTTTTGGAGGGATAGGCAAAGGCGGCAAAAAAGCACGACCCGCATGTGACTCTCACCTGACTCTTCCTCTCTCTGACAATGTCTTCTTCGAGGTCTCTCCGGTCGTCAATCTCGCCGTTCCGGTCACGAAGTTTGACGCCGGGACCACCACCTCCTGCTAAACGGCCATCCAAGACGTCGTCTAAGCCGCCTACTTCAAAGCTTCCTTCAAAGCCTTCGATTTCTCCGCCGATTTCGACAACTCCGTCAACGCCGAGCTTTGACCGGCCCGATTCGAGTAAAGCTAAAGAGAATGTGACGGTTACTGTCAGGTTTCGGCCTCTCAGGTACTATCTCGGTTGGTTCTTACTTGCGACATTTATTTTTGCTTGAGGATTTGTCTGTCGTTTAGCTGTTGGTGACGCTGGGTGGCTTTTATGTTTTTCAGTGCTAGAGAGATCAGCAAAGGAGATGAATTAGCTTGGTATGCTGATGGAGACTATACGGTTCGAAATGAGTACGATCAGAACTCTGCCTATGGTTTTGGTTAGTTTCAACTCTGTCTATCCCTTCTCTCTCTCTCTCTCTCTCTATATATATATATATATATATATATATGTATGTATGTATATTGTAATAGACATATATTTGTGCGTGTGTGTGTAAATGCTTGTATTTATTTTATTGTAATTGGTATGTGGTTGGTTTAATTCAAGCTCAACTCTATTTGTGAATATATGTATACATATACTAAGGGTTTCCCCATAGAGAAAGATTGAAAAAATTCCCTACCTCTAACCACCCACCCCCCCCCCCCCCCCCCCCCCCAATCCACACCCACCCCTACTCTAATATCATTGGAATTAATTGCTAATAAGTTAAACTGATTTCTTCACAAAAATTGAATGTGAAATAGTTAACAAAGATGGAAAAAAAATTCAAATACGAATTAGTTAACAAAAATGGTAGAAGTGATTACAAACGACACATGTAGGAATTTAATTGGAGTGACCAATATATTTTTATTAAATAATTCAAATTAAGAGAATTTAGTATCTGGAGAGGGAAGTTCTTAAGCATTTTCACCCAAAAGATGGCTGCTTTATACATGGAGATTGACACGTGTGAGTTTAGATATAAATGTTTGTTTTTGTTGCAATGTAATTGGTATGTCGTTTCTTTAATTCAACCTCAACTTGTAATATTATTGAGTGAAAAATTAGAAAGGACAAAATTATGACTGATTATATTTGTGAAACAGTAAATGAAGTGTCGATAGAAGATAGATTAAGAGAGAATCACCTTAAATGTTTTGGACAAGTTTAGAAGACATATTGCTGCCCAAGTGAGTAAGATATGCAAGGGGGAGAGGTAGATCGAAACTTCAATGGTGAAGAAGGATTTATGTTGCTGATCCCTACGATTAGATTTTGTTGGGTTGAGTCTAAATACTCAAACTTGTCACTAAGTCATCAATAAATGCCTTTGATTTAGCCTCTTTTATCCTATTATTTCTTGACATGGTGTTGTCATTATTTGTTGAATTTATTCAGTTCCTAGTCATGATTTAATTGCATGCTTCAAGTCCTCTTCCTTACCCATATCATAGTTAACAAAAATAGTTTAACCCCCAACGATCCACAATCTAGTATAGCGATCCCAAGCGGGGTGTGTTTGTGATCCAGATTATTTAAATATCAACCCCAAATTGTGATACTAACTTTAGATTGATTCGCTTTGGAACATGGATCACAAACATTAAATAAATGTTAATTGACTATTTGCTTATGGGTGTATTTAGATACTAGGTAATCGGACACAAATGTAAAATAAATAGTAATTGACTATGTGTTTATATAGGCATGTCAAAGGATCGGATTTGGACCGGATCTGGGTCCAATCGAATCCGATTAAAAACTCTATTATCGAATTCGATCTGTTTACCTGACATATATAAAAATAATAGTCCATATCCGAATTCACTTATAATTGGACATCTGGTTAGATTATCTCATTATCCAATTTGATTTGTAATGGTATTTCACCATAATTTCAATATATATATTTAAATATTATCCTTTAAAAAGGATAATAAACGGATGGAAAATATTGGTCCATATTTGGTCGAATTTAGATTGAAATATGGTCCATTTATAGGCCTACGTTTATGGATGTATTATTATATATAATTTTATATAGTAGTGAAAACAATCTAGATAAGGGTTTCAAAACAAATTGCAATTCAAAATACCGTACTAACTAAGCCTATCCCCATCACACCACATGCTTAAAAAAGTTTCGTATCGTATATTCGTGTTTGTATCACGTACCAAATGGACCCATGATCTAGGCAACATTTGTCCATGCCCTAATGGTTCATTTTTGTCTCACCACCATCATTCAAGACTTAAGAGTCCAGATTGTTACATGCTTTTCTCAACTATTGAACGGTCTCATAACTTACTGTTAATGATGTCAATTTAATTTCTCAACATTAGTTCCTCCTTGGGCTCACAAAAAGTTGTTTACTGCTATTTGAAAATCGTTTGCTATATTAAACTTGTGGGATTTAGTATAGGGATAGCAATCGTGTTGAGCATGTTTGTGTCGTGTCATTTACGGGTTCGTTCGAGTACTAATCAACCCTAATCCAACCCATTCAACTTATTATATCGTGTCAAACTGACTTGATCATTTTCATGTTGTATTCGTGTTGACCCATATAACATGTGAATAAACAATTTAACACTAAGATTTCATTATAATTTAATCGAACTTATGCGCGTACTTTTTCGACAAATTAAAATTTAACTTAATAAACATAATAATAAAGATGATTAAAAATATTTTTTTTATAATTGATAAAAAATAACAAAAAATGGCATTTTACTCCTCCAATACTATTTAAACGTGTTACTCTTGTCAATTTTGTGTTGTTCATATTTGATACTAACTTAACCCATTTATTAGTTATGTTAACGGTTAGTGTTATTTACGAGTTCGTGTCGAGAAATGATCAATTCTAACCCATTAATTTTGTGTTGATTCTGAGTCATGTTTCGTGTCATGTCAAAAATTGTCACCTCTAATTTAGTTTCCCTAGTTGCACGAAGGATTTGCGTTATATTTTTTGATATTTATTAAATTTTATTTTTTGATGTGTTTGGACTTAGCTATCGCCTTGATTTCTCATGAACAATGCCATATTTCCTTGGTGCAGACAGAGTCTTTGGTCCAGCAACAACTACTCGCCATGTTTATGATGTTGCAGCCCGACATGTTGTTAGTGGTGCCATGGAAGGAATTAATGGTAATTGCTTTTCACTATCGAATAACGTTTACAAATCTATGAAGCCATCATCGATGCCTTGACTGTGAAGTCACGACTTGTTTATAAGAGGGATTGCTGAAAAGATAATTCATCTGATATCTTTACTAGGTTTCATTCCTGCTGCTGAAATGCCTGATTTTTTCCTTTCATGGACACTGGGATTGGCAGTTAATTAAACCATAAATGCTGTTCTCATAATCATTTTGTTGTCACCATTGTTCATTATGACAGCATTCGTGAAATATGCACATGATATTTGACATCTGGGTTATTCCCCTTTTCAAAAACATGATTCATATTCTTTTGGTACCTTTTAGTGGGAGAATTAAATAATCTTCATATGTTTCTTCTTGCGTTTCATTGATATTCTTTGCCCTGGCAAAAAGTAGCTTAGATATTGGAGCTGTAATTATAATTGATGAGAAAACTAATCTTTGCAGTTGAAGCAGTAATTTAGGATTCAATTTTTTGCAGTCTTAGTCTTTCTCTTTCATCTTGCTGCTTTATTGATGGTTTTGTTTTTTGTGCAGGTACAGTATTTGCATATGGTGTTACTAGTAGCGGGAAGACTCATACGATGCATGTAAGCAACTATATCAGTTTTGTACTTATCCCTCATGCTCTCCGTCTTCTTAATATGTTCATTAAGAGTAAAAGGAGGTTCAGTGGTGCTGTCACCCCCAATTTATAAGACTGGTGGTAGAGGGCTTGGAATGAAAGCAACCTTGTGACTTAAGAATGGTAAAGGTCATCTGATCAAACTATACAGCCATCTGGCCTGGTAAAAAAATCAAACATATGTTCCATCACATCATTTTTTGAGTACTGGCTTAGAAGTTTTCTTTTGATGACTTAAGAAGGATAGATTCTTTATGTTTGGAAATAGTCTATGACCGCATCATTTTCAAACTCAAAATATCATAGTTTCCCTATTAAGCTGTTATCTTGAGGCCAAACTATGTATTGGAGCCTATATATCAGTAATTACATGCTGTCAAATGTCTTGAATTTCATTGGCTGTTGTGTGGATATCTTTTTCGTCTTGATGATTGCTGCCGTGATGGCTATGACCAGATTCTGCAAACACTTAAAGATGCTAGTAAGCCACTAAACCTTTTTGATAACGACCTTGGGAAAATGATTTTGCTTTAGAAATTAAAAATTGCCCAATTTCTCTCCCTATAAACATTAATACCTACTGTGGGCAGAAGCCAAAGAACTACCTGACAGGACAAATGTAAGAAATCACCACTTCAGGGCCATAGCCATTTTTTGTGTGAAAGAACTAAAATATTTCTAGCCAAGTATTAGAAGAGAGATTACAAGCTTGTAGGTTCTGAATGACACTCGTAATGCAGTCCTGTTGGTCATGAAAGACAGTTTTTGTATTTGGTTGGACAGCGTTGTTAGAATGATCCCTCAAAGAGCAGGTATTAGCTGCTCCTCTAGGGCATAGGCAAACAATTTAAATGTCTTGGTTTTTTGGCGCGGAATCAACTGTGATATTTTTTACTAACCATTGGAATAAGATGTGCAAATTTTTGTTTCAATTAGATATTTGGAATTGGGGCATTTGATGTAGACCACTTGGGAATCCGATAGCTTTTAGTGTTGGTTGACCCCATTGAATAGCATATCAAATCCTGAATTAGACAAGTACATTTTCGGTAGAAATGTACAATTTCAAACAATATAGGCTTTGATTCCATGTGTTAAGGGTTTTGAAATTAAGCACAAGAAGTAGAAATTAAAATAGTGAAATCATAGTTTTGTTCCTGCAATTCCTTCACCATGTCCCTCAAATAGTCACTTAAACATATTATGTTGTCAATTTATTTTGTTCCTTAGCAAAATGTGACCTTGGTTTCCAATTTTCTTTTTCTTTTTGCTGCCTGCCCCTGGAAAGGGGGAGGGGTGGGGTCACCTCAAGTATGTCTGGATGAATGATTATCTGTATCCGATTCAACTGATGCCCAATAGACCTATTCTGGTTACAATTGAGTGTATGAATTGGTCCATGCTTGATGAAGTTACTAAAGTAATCTTAAGTACATTAATCTAACCCAGTCCCTTACTTAATAAAATTACTAGAATAACACAAATGTTTTACAAGTAAAATGACAACCAAAACTAACTTTAATAAGGAAAAAAAAAGAACGAATCCTAGAACCTAATAAAGTATATAAGACACACTCTAACAGCTGAACAAATCAAATCTCTAGAACCTTCTTTTGTTTTAGGCTTTATGGATCATCCTTTGCCCCCAATTTGTTTTCAGAAGCTACCAAATGGGCCTCATGTGCACATGGTACATGCAAAATACGAAAGTTGGCACTTTATATGCTCAGTTGTATCTGAAATTATTGATGGAAACTCAGAATTCCATACCAGAATGAGCTCAACATGTCTGAAGCGCTAAATAATAGAATTGAGCCATGTGCTTCATATGGATAATGGGGAACCAGATGCAGTCAGAGAGAATTCTATCTGACACTCTTAGAACTAAGCATTGATACCATGCCAAACAACCACATGCTTGAAAAGCTTATGCTTGTTGGAAACGAGTAATATAACTCTTCTGTGACCACTCCCAATGCCCAACGTTGGTAATTTTTTTTTTTGTGATTTAGAGATGGATATCTCAACTTCCTTAGAAACACTTCACTTCTGCTCCTTCCATGAATTCCCCACAGAGCAAAGAGCAGCCTTCCAAGCATCCTTGTGCTCTTGCTACTTGCTAGTGCATCTTGTCATCCAACTGCTGAGTGGGGATCACACCCCCAAGATGGGCAGGTGGAAGTCCCGGAATCTCTAGCTAGCTTATAATGTATCTAGACGTGGTTCACCACTTTTTCCGTTTATTGCGAAATATCAGTTAGGAGCATTTCCTTGTGTGGCCCAAATTATCCATTGTCAGACTAGCCTCCATGGGTATGATTCTAATGATAAAGTTAACCTCTGAAGGTACCTCACCTGCCATGGGCTCTTCCAAAAGGAATTCCACTCTTTTCCCACACCACTATCTTTAAAAAATTACTTTCTGCTAAGGAGCCATTGCTTATTGCCTTCAATCCCAGAAACTTGTCCAGATGCCCTTGCATTTCAAGCTCGTAAAGCACCTCAAAAAATCAATTACTGCTTCTTAACTCCCTTTATATTCATCAAATAAGCATTACAATGCTGATACTTTATTATCCTTTTGTTAGAAGTCCAAATTCGAACACTTATTTGGATCGTATATCTTCTTTTCTCAGGTATCTATCCTTGTACTTCATTTTTTAAATCTAAATGTTCCTGATCTTTGTCATGGGTTGCGGACACAAGAATCACCAAGGAAAAAAATTGGCTCGAGTTTGCATGCCTGAAGTTGTTTATTAGAAGTCATTCTGGGGCATTAAAAAAAGTCACAATTCCTAAAACTTGGTTCCAGGTGCACTGTTTGTTTTTTTTTAAATTCCTGAATCCGAAACTTGGTTTGTAGTCTACAATACACTATTTAAGGAGTTTCTTTCTTTAGTTTTGATGCTTAAATATTTGAGCTAAGAGGGCTATGTACATGTGTGTGGACGCATGCCATATGTGGGCCATTTTTCCGGCTTAGTTGGGTAGGTGTTTTTTTTTGCTTTAAGTTTGTAATTTTCCTGTGGGTAAAATTCATTCCAATATTAGCTGTGCTTTATTCTCAAGTTTTGGGAGGAGCTTCTTGTTCATTTTGCTTAATTTTTAGTTATGCAAATACTTTTGTTATAATTGCTGTTCCATATTGTGTTTAGGGGGAGCAAAAGTCACCTGGAATCATTCCGTTGGCTGTGAAGGATGTGTTCGGTAATATACAAGAGGTAATGGCCCCCTCATCTCTCTCTCTCTCTCTCACATGTGCACGCGATATATAAATGTAGGCACCTTTTTTTTGGAGATTGGGTAGCAATTAATTGTTTACTTCCCATGTACTTGCAACTATTTTTTGTGTTTCTACTGGCTTTTGTAATTAACTTTAAATGTGTTTTATTAGACACCAGGGCGAGAGTTTCTCTTCTTCGCGCGTTTCCTATTTGGAAATATACAATGTGTCAGTTCCATTTAATTATTTCCCTGCATTATTCGTGCTTCCTTTTTGTTTTATTTTTGATAATTATGCCTATGTGCAATAAATATTTTTGATAGAAAAATACTAGAATTTTTTAGAATTTTGATTCACGAAAATTGATATAGA